AGCTGGTCCTCTTGCTCAGTTCAGTTTAGTTTCTGACTCTCACACATGGGATCTTAATCCCCAGTAGTCTGGTGGAGCCTATGGACCTCATCTCAGAAGAACTGCTTTAGATGCACAAAACAAAATACACGGGATTGCAAAGGAGACACATACCAAAATCCTGTTTTCAACATATTTTAAAATAATGTACAGTATATTAATATATGTGCTTCTGCCTAGTAGCAGGTCTAATAACTATCATAATTGTTAAATAGTAATGAGCATAAATGGCATTTCAAGATATCCTCAGCACATGTGATATGAAAATATCCATTAATATAATAGTTTTTGGTACTTCTAATAACACTGTAGTTGTCTAGCAACCTTTCCAATTAAAGGAAATGCTAAATGTCAGTTAGAAATTAGATTAAATGAATTTTTTTCATCAAAATGTATAGGCCCCAAGTAAAAATGTCAGCTTTCTAGTACCATGAGACCAGGAGCTCATTAACTGATTCCATTTAGACCATGAGCTGTTGGACCAATGGCAAACAGACTTGTTTTGTTTGACCACAGAATTTTAAAAACAAATCAAATTAATTACCAACCAAATGTGGTTTCCCATAAAAACATGATTCTGGCCTCTTAGAGAAAAAAATAAATAAAATATGAGGACTAAGCAACACTAGCCCAGCAGCCCCACGAGGCAATGTCCTACCAGACTGAATAGCAGCTGCCTCTTCCACAGATGAAATGAACACTCCAGTTTCACAGTAACTATAAATCCTGCCTTACTTTTTCATGCTATCTGCCTACTTTGTGTAGCTACTTCTTATTAATATTTAAGGTATTTTCTACCTCATAACCCTCTAAATAGGCAGCAAGTAGAAGATATTTGCTTTCTAATAAAGGTGTGGAGATTCTATTTATATGCCCACTGTTGTCCCCATTTAACTTCTTTCAGTCCTTTTCTTCCTTCCTTCCCTCCTTTTCTTCCTTCCCTTCCTCCATCCCTCCCTCCTTCCTTCCTTCCCTTCCTCCCTTCCTCCCTCCCTCCTTCCTTCCTTTCCTTTCTTTCTTTTTCTTTTCTTTCCCTTTCTTTCTCTCTCTCTCTCTCTTTCTTTCTTTCTTTCAGCTGGAGTACAGTAGCAAGATCTCAACTCATGGCAACCTCCACCTCCCTGGTTCAAGCGATTCCCCCTGCCTCAGCCTCCCAAGTAGCTAGGATTACAGGCACGTGCCCCCATGCCTGGCTAATTTTCTGTATTTTAGTAAAGACAGGCTTTCACCATGTTGGTCAGGATGATCTTGATCTCTTCACCTTGTGATCCACCCACCTCAGTATCCCAAAGTGCTGGGATAACAGGCTTGAGCCACCGTGCCTGGCCCAGTCCTCTTTTTTCAACAATTAACACACTTAAGGCCCCTGGGCAGTCACCTGATTTGTAAATAAAGTAACTGAAACACAGTCATGCTCATTTCTTCATGTATTATCTACAGCTGTTGCTACTGACTAAGTTTTACACCCTCAAAATTCATCTGTTAAAGCTCTTACCCACAATGTGATGGTTTTGGAAGATGGAGCCTTTGGGAGGTAATTAGGTTTAGAAGAGGTCATAAAGTTGAAGCTCTCATGAGGGGTTTGGTGCCCTTATAAGACACCAATGAGCTTACTTCCTCCCTGCCCGTCTCTCTGCCTCCCCTCCTTCTCTCTCTTATGTGGGAACACAGTGAGAAGCTGGACATTTGCAAGCCAAGAGGAGAACCCCGACCAGGGAACCCAACTGGCCAGTAACTTGATCATACTCTTCCCAGGCTCCAGAACTGTGAGGAACCAATTCCTGCTGCTGAAGATACACCACAATCTATGGTATTTTGTTATGGCAGCCCAAGCTAACAAAGATAGCTCCTTTCATACTGCAGTGGAAAAGTTGAGTATTTGAGATTGGCCCACAAATTCAAAATTATTTACTATCTGGTCCTTGACAGAAAAAGTTTGCCAGCCCATGCTGTAGTTGTTTGATGGAATTACTAGTTATAGCTCTAGAATTTTTACATAGAGGGGCTTAAGGGTGGGTAGGAGAAGTTATATTTGCACAGTAAGCATCTTATTTTTCCTTAATGGCGATGAAGACAAATAGCTAAAGAAGGCTCACTTTCCTGCTTATTACAGCCACGGAAAGCCACACACTATACAAACCTCTCCACCTAGCCACTGGATATACCTGTGTGGCTGGAACTGTACCGTACCATGGCTGCCAACTTGGATTCAAAATCTGCTCCCTTATTTACCAGGAACACATCCTTAATCAATGGCTATGATAGCTATGAGGTATCAGTAGCATACTAAAGACGTAGTTTTGGTTACAGAATTCAAAACAAATGTTCATTGCAATAATTTTTACAGTAATAGCAATAAGAACAAAATGTTTTCATTAATAGATCAATTGAAATAAAGTGAATAAGTGAATGAGAAAGCAATATAATTGTTGACCACGTGTCTGTGGAATATTGTAGAAAATAAAATGTTGGCGACTTTGACAAGCTAAAACAACATGGTATTCCAAAAAATGCAGGCTTTAGAATCATGGAGATAAATTCAAATGCAGGCCCTTACTCATAAGTTATTGGACAACTAGCTGTTCTGATCTTAGAACCTTAACCTCCTCATGGGTGAAATAGAGATCATACTGCTCTGTTTGTGGGTTGTTGACATTTAATAAGATATATATGTAAACTGTGTTGAAGTGCCTGGCTATATACAATAGGCTCTCAAATGGTAGCTAGTATTACTAATCATTAGATCGTATTTTCTCACCATTTATCTTTTTCATGAGAATATTGTTTTTCTGAAAATAAAGTGACACTCAATGACACCCTTTCCCCACTATCTGTCAAGTTACTGAGACAATGCATCAAGAGCAGAAAGGCTAGAATTATAAAAACTGACACCAGTTATAAGAGGAAACAGGTAGGGAAGGGAAGAAGCCGCTTGATATTACTCAGCAAACTGGTACCTGTGGAGACAGGGACAGCGTTTCTGGGTCCTGTTAGGAAAACCAACAACAGTTTTCTGTCTCTAGATTCTCTTCCTAACAGATGTAGCTACACCAGTGTGCACTCAGCTGTCACAACCAATGAGTGTGTGTGCGTGCGTGTGTGTGTGTGTGTGTGTGTGTGTGTGTGTGTGTGTATAAGGGAACAAGAGGTGACAGAGATTTTCTGCTGGTGATCGGTTTTAATTGTCCATCTTTGGCACCTTGCATTGCAAATATATCAGTTGGTTATCTGATATTAATCCCCCTGGGCCAGAGTTTCCTCATGTGCTTTGAAGGAAAAATAACTGCCCATTTTATTTCACAGGAATATTTTAAATTTCAAGTTCTGAGGAATGTACAGATGTTGGATAGGAAGTTTCAGTCATCTTGCAGTATGGGGGAAGATTTTAAAACTGCAAATTTTAAACTGGAGGGAACTTAGAAATATAGTCTTCCCTTGATACATCAGGTGGATTGGTTCCAGGTTCTCTCTCACACATCCAAATCCTCACATACTGAGGATACATACACATACAGGAAAAGTCAGCTCTTGGTATACATGTTTCAAATCATGCAAATACTGTATTTTTCATCCGCATTTAGTTGAAAAAATTGGTATGTAAGTGGACCCTCGTGGTTCAAACCTGTGTCATTCAAGGGCCAACCATACTAAAAGCCAACTACCAAACAGGTTGCCTTGTTGTAAGGGAATTTGTCATTGCAGAAGGCAGAGCATAAACTAAAGGAGACGTTTCTGCTTCATACCAAAAGGGACTCTGAGCTGCCTAACACACTAGCAAGAAACTTCCATATTTACTTAATATTGAGCATCCCTCTTCTACTTCCACCACTGCCTTAGCTTTCAACTATTTGTGTTTGACACAATATTCACATTTAACTCTAGGTCTATTGAGCATAAGTACTCTGTATTCAAGTCTTCATGCTCTCTACAGCTATTTACATTCTATCTCACAGGGTCTGGATGCTCCATAAGTATTTGATAACAAACGTATAAACTGAAACTGATGTTCAAGTATAGATCAAATAAATGTGATACAGCCAGTAAAAACACTACTCCTGCTAGTCTCATTCTTTCTTGGAACCCTAAGTAGGAATTACATTGATTTAATTATGTTCATTTCTACGTTGCTACAGTATAGACGTTAATTTATCTCTTTGCTTGATTTCTTCCCTCCATGTTAACTACAGAGAAGGTTTTATTTAAGCAGGTTAAAAGGAAGGACTGTTATTTCAAAATACTTCACCACAGACAAGCAGTCATTTCAGATAAAATCAATTAAGTGCAGTTATCCAAACATGTATTTAATTCTTGGCAATAAAAAAGCCCTACCCAATGCCCGATGACCTAGAAACCAGAACTAGGAGATTTCTTCATGCAAATTAAATTTGTGTCACACTCATCAGTTAAAAAGATGGCAATGAAGGTCAAATGTGCAGCAGCAGTGTAAAATAAAGGATTCCTATCCATATTTGTAGGATGTGTCAATGTGGCTAATTAATTTTTGAGACGGTATTCTTTGAAAGAGTAAACTTTGTGAATTGATTATGAAATGAGAAATGCCTAAAGAAAGTTGAGAATGTAAAATAGGCACTCAGCTTGATTAACTTTACCAGCTTTAAAATAATCCATATAATAAGGTAAAAGACACTGGAATTTATTTTATGGTAGTGCTATAAACTCCAAGAACTAACTACATTATAGTAGAGTTTACATCTTGTTTCTCTTCAAGTCTGTTTTCCATTTTGTATCTTAAATGGTAAAGATTCAAATCTTTACTCATAGAATTAGGATGCTTTTTCCTTTAAAAAGTAAACAAAATATAAATAAAGGGAAGGAAAATTATGTCATTTTACATTGATGGGAATTAAGTGCTGCAAAATAAAGTATCTTTCCTACTCTTCAGCTAATAACATATTAATACTCTGGACACTAATGAGAAAAAGCAGATGCAGACAACATACCCGTTTCCTCAGATTGCAGGTAAGAGTGAGATTTCTTGAGAATGAGTTTGCAAAAGCTGTATAAAAGTCCAGGACTTTGAGCAAGGCTTCCCGCTTGATGATGTGTAGGTCACAGTATGTCAGGGCCCGGACATTTGCACATGCATGGGCAAGGGTGGTTTCCTTCCAGAAGATGTCTCCAAATACATCACCCTTCCCTGGAAAACAGTGTAAGATCCATATTTAAGCATCTACCACTGTTCTTACTGTAATCACTATTGCTGTCAGTTTCATATACAGTATCAACCTTTTAGCATAATTTAGAGCTGAGGGTATAACCACATCTATATACACATAACAATGTACAATGGTTTCATATAATATGTAAAGTAACATCACCCCGAATTTAGTTATTGATGAAAATCTGTAGTGGCGTGAATAAATAGATCCAACACAGAAGACAAACACCTCGTTTTAACAAATAATTTCATTAACTTCTGCCACCTTCTTTTCCTATTTTGACTAGAAGTAGCAAAGGTGACTTTTTAATTTCATCCTTGCCTGTACTCCTTCTGGTAAAGATAATAACATGCAATATAGAAGGATCTGCTGTAACAGTCTTTATAAATGTAGGGCTGATCCAACATATATTAAATACAGATTATCCAATAGCTAGTTACTGTGCTCCAAACAAATTAAAACTTGCCAGGACTTAGTTGCCCAAGAATACCCTTCCTTCTATACCTAGCCAACCTTATACAGGTCCTAAGAGTCCAGCTTAAGAGCTCCCATCCACAATTACAAAGCTAATGGACCCAGGTTGTCTAAAACATGAAGACTCAAATGTGTTAACCCTTGAACAGTTCTATAAAAAGTGCTATACTATCATCAAATGTAGATGTCTTTTAAAAAGACATCTAGAAATTGCACAGGAATCACGTATTCACTTCAGAGCACTACCCACTGGTGGCCTGAACTCAACCATTTATCATCTGAACTCAAGTACTTAGTTGCCCAATAAAAATGAGAAAGAGTCTAAGGTTAAAGTCCCAAAAGGCCTTTCTGCTGAGGCAGTTCCATAAAAGCCCCTGTTTTCTGAAGTGTAGTCAACCGCATTCTTTGTTCAACTTCTGTGTAAAAGGAAAAGTTTTAAAGTGAAAAAGACAGGGGGAATATATTCAGGAGGGAAACATCTTCCTACAGGCACTCTGTTAATGATTTATTCTTTCTGCACTCAAACCACAGAGGTGAGCAACTATCTACTGCCATCATGCAGATGAAAATCAGAACCAACAGGAAAAAAAAAAGAAGAAGAAAGACCTTGTACAACCCTTCAGGTCAGCCAGACAACCAGAGAGAAAAGAAAATGTGTAACCACAGAAATGAGATGGAGACAAAGACAGTGACAAGACAGAGACAGACAGGTTGAGTGAGTGAGATTACAGATTCTTTGCTCACCTAGGTAGTTGGGAAGCCCTGAGAGAAACATGGGGCTTGATGTCAAGCTTAAGAGGTACTTCAGGTTACAAAGAGAAAATGTGCACATGACTGACAGGTGATTAAAACCACCACATGATCATGTGGCTAGCATAAAATAGCTATAATATATATTTAATTACTCTTAAACAATTCATTTGTTTCTGGACCTTCCAAAAATTTCTTTTAGTTTGTGACATGGACGAGCAAATCAACTGTCTAATAGCCATTTATTTGCCCAAGGAAGAGAGATTAGAGACCTGGTAGCCAGAGTGTCTCTAGGGTAATACAGTATCACAATAACCAAAGGGAGACTTTAGCTATAGAAACTCTACCACCCTTTATAGAGATGAATTTCAGACGTCTATACATGGTATTTTCCTCAAACTAGCAATCCCAATTATAGGCATTTATTCTAATTGCATAACAAGAAGTGCAATTATAAATTTTTATAAATTTATTTATAAAAATGCTCACTGAAGTGAAATTTATAATCGACAAAAATTGGAAATAAATGTCAACAAATAAATTATAAAATATTATGCAGGCATAAGGTATCAAATTTTACAAAGTGACATGGAGACTATATACAGGTATATAAAATAGTAAAAGCCGGATATAAACCATACATACAGTATAATCTCATTTTATGTACACCATCTCTCTACCCCCAAGCATGCATACATATACACATGCAAACCATAGAAGTAAAAGCATCAAAATGCTAGATCCTCTCTGCATTATGGAACAATGTATGGTTTTTATTTTGTCTTATAATTTCTGTGTAATACTTTGTAAATAGAAGAGATCAACAACTACTATATTACCACAGTTCCTGATGGTACCAAAAAAAAAGCTAAACTTTTAAAGGGTCGCTTTTATCTTATTTCTTTTTACTTTTACTTCTTTTTACTTTTATTCTTACTCTTTCTATTCTGGATTTTTCCTTCAAGAGATTAAAAAAATGGTTACATCTCTCTATGATTCATTTCTGTAACATTTTCTCAAATTGTCAGTTATAATCCCTTACCCATTTATGAATGCTCATTACTTTTCAGCTATTTGGTTTTCATATATGGCACACTTAATAATAATCAATGCTTTTGACTCAGCATTTTCACTTCTGGGAATCAAAAGATTATAACTACCACATGTAATATTCATTATAGTGTTATTAATGATAACCCCAGATTTAAAAAAACCTATATGCCCAATAAGTATGGCAATTGTAAAACTATGCATAAAACATCAGTTCCCAAAGAATTAAAACAACTTTTGAGATAATATGCAAAAAATTCTTAATTTATAATGTTAAATAAGAAAAATTATATAAAGAATAATAATATGAATGTGGTTACAGCCTAAACAAAATATATAAAAATGAAACTGAGGTGCCAAGACTAAAAGAATAATCAATTAAGAAATCTAATTTATCTTTTTTCTTAAGAAAATTCTCTTGATAGAACCAAAGTATAATGAATTTTATAATTACATGTTATTATATATAGTTTATTAGTCTGTTCTCACACTGCTAATAAAGACATACCTGAGACTGGGTAATTTATAAAGAAAAGAGGTTTAATTGACTCACAGTTTTACATGGCTGGGGAGGCCTCACAATCATGGCTGAAGGCAAATGAGGAGCAAAGTCACGTCGTCTTACATGGTGGCAGGCAAGACAGCCTGTGCAGGCAAACTGCCATTTATAAAACTATCAGATCTCATGAGACTTATTCACTACCATGAGAACAGTATGAGGGAATCTGCCCCCATGATTCAATAATCTCCACCTGACTCTGTCCTTGACATGTAGGGATTATTACAATTCAAGGTGAGATTTGGATGGAGACACAGCCAAACCATACCATATAGTATATAATATGTTATATTAATTTATCAATTGATATAAATTGAGCTAAAAGTCTGAAGGGATACAAAACTAAAAGAAAATGCATTTAAATAATAATAGCAACAGGATTTAAGTGGTGTGGTCATGGCTTTTCTTCTTCCTACTTCATGATTTCTAAATTTTTCTATGATAAAAAATAGCAAACCATTTTCACAGATGTCTTTCTTTACACTTCTTAATAAAACTGAATTCATAAGATATATACATAGATTTTTAGATTGTAAACAAATATTCATTGATTATTAAGTGCATTGTCAATAGGTAAAAGATATTCAAAATATAAAGGTAGTTTCTTGTTACCAATGTAGGCCATTTTTAATTACAGAGGATTCAAATATCTGTTATATATTTTATTTAACTTAACTGATGAAATTAAACACTCTTACAGAATTTCTACCTAAAATTTTAAAATTTAAATTATTACATTATTTAAATTACTATATTTTTGGACTCATGGGGAAATAAAAAGTCTATGATATAGTACGAATAGCATATAAACTAGAATATGAACTTATGAAAAAATTAATTTATTGCTCCTCTCCCAAAAAGTTTAGAAAAACATAGCACAGTTAACAAAAGTATATAATTCTGCTCCCAACATAAGAATTCACTTTACATAATAAGCAACACTAACTGTTTCATTATGTAGAATTTTCATTAGGATGTGCAATAGGTTAACTGGATATTAATCTAATCAACCGTTTCAAAGTGTGTTTACTTTTTTGGCTTTCTATGTCACCTATTAGGCAATCAATTCACAACAAACTTTTACCACATTTCTGGGACTATGGTCATCTTTTTAAAAAAATTAATAAATGTACCAGCCAAAGTAAAGTTGGTTAATGTCCTTCTTCAAGCATATTATGCACATTTATAGTAAATGATCTCAGAAATCATAGGCTGTGAAAATGTGGGATTATTCATGGAATATCTAACATGCATGCATCTAATATGCATGGGATAGCTAATGAAGAAACAATAAATCTTTTCTTTATTGCACAAAAGATTTTGTACACTGTCAGGGCTCGGAACTCCTGTTCATTTTCTTGACTACAGAACATTTGATGATGGTTTTCAGGTCAGCTCCTGCTCGGTACAAGCAGTTTCTGCTATAAACATTTTAGAGCTAGAGATACTAACCTCCCCTCAAAGTGCTAAAATTAGTGGAAAAGCTTGTGCTAAACATGAAAGTTGTTGTTTGGTCTATTTATATTTTCTCAGTTCTTTGCATCAAGTCTTATGAAGTATTTCATTGCTAACCTACAGGAAAAAGGATTGTAAAATAGAAATTAATGTTAAAGACTCATATAGTAGGAAACTGGAAAATTTAAGACAAAACAGACAGAGTTACAACATAATTAAATGAGTAATACAGACTGTGGTATGCTTGGGGATTATCGTCCTCTAAGGCACTGATTTTAAGCCAGATTTATTTTTTCAAATGTGAGACACATTATTTGGTGAGTTAATGACATGAATAAAATAAATGCATAAAAATTACTACAGTTGGGCAGGCTCACACCTGTAATCCCAACACCTTGGGAGGCTGAAGCAGGTAGATCACGAGGTCAGGAGTTTGAGACCAGCCTGGCCAAGGTGGTGAAACCCCATCTCTACTAAAAATACAAAAATTAGGCAGGTATGGTGGTGGGCACCTGTAATCCCAGCTACTTGGGAGGCTGAGGCCGGAGAATCACTTGAACCCAGGAAGTAGAGGTTGCAGTGATCACACCACTGCACTCCAGTCTGGGTCACACAGCAAGCCTCCACCTCAAAAAATAAATAAATACATACATAAAAATAACCACAGTTATTCATCAGTGAGAACTGCTA